TATAATTGCTAACCTTATATGCCATATTGGTCTTCTCTGCTTGTGTCTGACTACCTGACACCAATGCATCATCTTTCAATGCTTTTGCACATTTGGTTAAATTAAAATTGCATGCATCTTCACTTTTCACAACTCAAAATCATTGTCTTCGATAAACTTCACGATGTCCCATTTAAATCCATGGTACTCACTAGTAAAATTAGATCCATTGCTCCACGGTAGACATCACTTGTTGTGAAAATCGAAACTCAAATATCCAAATATTAAAAAAAAATGATATGTGAGAAAAAAAATAATGATTAACAATATTAAACAGTCTCAAGCAATAATCAATCTATTAATCTAGTGTGTGTGTAAATCATAAACTAACAAAAAAAAGGTAAACATAAAAAATCAACACACACAAATCATTTACCCAATTCAATCTAAATTAAACTACTCTAGGGGAGAGTAGACCAACTTAATTATTAGTTTTGAGTATAAAACAAATTATTCAAAATTGATCAATATTAAAAAGAATTAGTAAGAAGTTTGTTATTCATGTGGAACTACATGACGAGGATTATACCTGCCTCCCTCCCTCCACAACACCTTGGATGAAATGGCCTTATTGTTTTTTAATTAAAAAATGTCAAACATAATTAACATTTTTTGGATTTTTCAAAATCTTTCATGAAATTTCATACTTCTTTGAGCTTGGAGGAATATTCACAAATCTACTCTTTTTTAGTTTTTATTGGATATTTTCAAAATGTGACACAAATCCAGTCAAAATGCATGAATTATATGTAATTATACTAGTTTGTAATATAATTGGTAGAAATAGTTTAGGGTTTTATTGAATATTTAGATAAATATGGTGTAGTGTGTGGTGGTGACACCGACTTTTTTGAAGAACCTGGTAGAAATGCATGAGATTATATTAGAGTTTAGGCAATGTCTTGTATAAATGTAAGCCAATCACCAAAAGTTTTAAAAATTTAGGTATAGTGTTATTGAGTGACATGCATGTTAGTGATGTTGTGTAGAGATATGTGGATTCCACAAATGATGTTCTCAATAGTATTTTGTGTATTATGGAGGGTATATTAGATCCCAACAATTCTTATTGTAGAGAACTGAAGAGATACATGGACCATAAACTATTTATTGTAGAGAATTTAAAGGTGGGAACTCAAGAGAAAATGATAATGAGGCACATGCTAAGGTGTCTGATCATTGAAATTCTATTCTTCAGGGGATAAATGTTGAACCAAATGTCTAAGATAACTTGTCTAACTTTTTAAACTAGTTGTGACACAATATGAAAGGAATAAACAAACAAAGTAAGACAATAAAGAACACAAGAGAATTGGTAATCCGGTGTGGTGCAAACAACACCTACTTCTGGAGGACACTCTACCTAAGAAATAAAATCCACTCTTTAATAGAATTAGTACAAAGTGTCTTATATGAATAAGCCTCCTTTCAATGCCCCTATTTTTAATTCTACCCTCTTTGGCTTTCTATTCAGGTATCTCCATAAATATGAGAACCCCTTATCACTTTCTCTCAATCACTAGCCCTAGTGATCAACAACAACAATCAAAGTGATCAGTATTAAATTACAACTCAACTACAAAAACCATCTATTATGCCTTATGATATGAATTAAGCAATAGTGTGGTGTACAAGAAACAACAAACAGAGACTCAACCTAAAACACAAATAACACTCTAGCTCGTCTTCTTCAAAGGCACGGTAGATTCTTTCTATATAGCAATCCATAGTTGGTTTTTTTTCTACTTGGATTTTGGCATTAATTACGTCCAAATATGATGGAGATTCTATTTTGATTTGTTCCACAAAAATAGCTCCACAAAAGACTTGATTTGAATTCAAATTTAAATCTCCTTGATTTAAATTTAATCAAATAAATCAAATTGCTAAAAGATAGCAACAACCCTTGTTGCACTAGTAACAGAAACTTGTGTTATAGACATTTGAAAAATGCACGCATACAACAATAACTTATTCTGCAGACATGGGTCATTTGTTGGGACATCTATTCCCACTTGTGTCATTTTTTCACCAAAAGCAGTAATGTTGTTTTGGACAATGTAGCTAACCTAAAAGGAAAAAACAATCATGTTGGTATAGAGGCACATGTTAATGTGGCTTATCATGTTTATACAAATGCACATGTTGAGGTGTTTGATCATGTCAACAAAAATGCACATGTTAATGTGTTTGATGATACATTGTTGCTTGAGCACGATATAGTTGATGATCTTCAGGGCACTTAAGTAAAGAGGTTCCTATGTAGGCCCTCCGACCTGACACTGATGACATAGTACTGTGATCATGTTGTCTTTCGATTATGGCATGGAAAGGTATAAATTATTTTATTTTATTTTATTTTTAAGTATAAGAGGTTAATCTAAAATAGCTGATATTTATGAACTAATTATTACATAACTACATTTTATTGAAGGTTCTTACCCATGAGTTGAAGTTAGAGATATTTTTTGCATGAACAAATTCCATATGAGGTCACGAGTTTAGTGAAAAATGTTGGCTTTTTGCCTCTGGTCTCATGTCCGTTCACTATGATTGACATCCTTTTGTTATCTACTTTTGTGGAGCAATGGCATAATGAGACGTCCTCATTCCATCTTCCATTTGGGGAGATGACAATTACCATGAACACTGTCTCTAGCCTATTCCATGTCCCCTCTCACTAGTAACTTCTTCACCCCCTTCATTGATGAGTGTTGGATTGACCATTATGATTGTGAATACATACTTGAGAGTTACAGTGGAATTTTATTTAGGGGAGTTTAAGTTTAACAAGGCTTCTCATTTTCGTCTCTTGACTTTGTGACACTTATGCATCATTGGTAGAGCATACCGTGTAAGAGGATGTCGCTAGAGTATACATGTTGCATCTGTTTGGATGCACTATTTGGCGTATATGTCACATGTCTATATTTATGTGAGATACATATCCATGTTCATAGACCTTGGATTTCATATATAGGTATAAGGATGTGCTGTTATGACGATTATCTATCATGTCATCAGAGAGGCTAGTGCATTTGGGACGAGCAACTTGCTAGTTATATGAGCTTCTTTCAAGTATAAATATTTATTTTATTTTTTGTAAGTATTAATGTAAATTTATGTTGTTTTAAATTATGTGTTTTACTATAGTGTTGGATCTACGAGCATTTCCACTCCCTTAGTAAGAAGGATGATAGAGGTTCTACCATACATGGTTCCCCAAGGGCGACAAGATTGATCTCCAAGCATGTTTATCCATGCAGTCTTTAGGAGTACAGACAAGTGAATGACGCTCTCACCCTTGTATTGGAAGAGTACATTTACTGCATACCTTCTTGAGAAGTGTTTGTGTCTCTGCGAGTTTAGTCATTCAGTTGTTGTTAAACTTTCATATGATATTCCACCACCGCCGCCACTTGGTATGATTGATCGATAGAGAATGGAGACTATAACTCTTATTTTTTTATAATCTCATGGGTTTGATAAACTCGGATATTGATGCTTATGCTTTAGCAGCGCAGATTGCACATGGTGGGCTAACATAGATGTTTTATTACTACTTGTTGTATCATAACTTATCGTTGTTTCATGATTTTTCGTTGTATTATTACTTATGGTTGTAGTATTACTTTCATGACATTATTGCATAAACTTAATATTAACTTAGACATTAACTTGATATTATCTTTGTGAGACGTTTCATCGTTTTGAGAATATTGTATGTTGATCTTGCAAGTGTCACTTCCACTTTGATACTATTAACCTTTCTTCAATAGTCATTATGGTTTAAGAGATTTTCGAATTTGAACTTAAGATCTATGAGTGTGGTGTTCTAAATAACCCTAAATTCAAATAGAGAACTTATATCATTAACATAAACAAATACAATGTAAAAAAAATAATAATAATTAAACAAAATTTAACCTACAAGATTTTTAAGTGTAAAAAAATCTAGTATACCAATTTTTTTTATAAATTTTGTACTCGTGCTAGATTTTCAGAAAAAGAACGATATAAACACGAATTAAAATTACAATTTTACTTTTTTTTTTTTGCCAATAAATCCAATAAATTATGTCGGATATTTTGTTATAACTATCGAATTTTTAGCTTTTTTACTAATATTTTGAGTATTTTAAAAAGAAAGCTATAAAATTCTAAAGAGGCAAATTATGAAAAGCTCAATATTAAATTTCCCTCCTACATGACTAAAAGGATTAGTAGTAGTGCTAAGAGACCCAACCAAGTGAGGCATCAAAGTGGTGGAAAATGACTCAGATTTTAAGGATAAAAATGGATATCAAATACTCTTCTTTTTTATTTATAGAAAAGCCATATTCATTCAAATTAAATGATTAAAAAAATATAGTCTCTATATAAAACAAAAGAAAAATTACATAGTTGGTTCATTGTTCAACACAAGATTTTACTTTTAGTACTCCCTCTAGTTTCCAATATATATAAACAATTGTAGCACCTTATAAATAAATCTGAAATAATTTTACCATATATAATGATATCATTATCTTTAATTAATTAAAATTAATATTTTAATAATATAAATTAGATCATCAAATATTCTTAATCAAAACATTGGTAGTGAGATATATCACAACTTTATCAATGTCTTGCAAAGTCACTCAGCAAAGGCCAAGAAATTAACATTTGTAACAAGTGATTAATACAATAATACCAACATTTCCTATTAGAAAAACAAAACAATAAAACCAAAATCTGATTTAAATTTTGACAACATACAATATATAAATGTTAGGTTACATATAAGAAACATTCCACCACATGCACTCAAATTTAACATACATAACATCAACAATGTATCCTAAATCTAATTGCTACATAAATATTAGAACTACATGTAACAAATACTTATACTTGTCCATAATATAATAATTTCTTATACAGTCAAAATCAAACACATACTTCATCTTTCGGAATGGCTAGGGCTGGACATGCTCGTCGTCATCGCCAGATGATGATGAGTTGCCAGAGCCCTGGCCATTGCCGAATGAAGCGAAGTTGAATCCGGCCGGTGACATGATAGGCTTCATGCCACCAAGATCAGCTTTCAATTCTTCAGATACTTGATTATTAATATGAGATGATGTAGGAGGGGCGGTTGGTGACATGTGATCGATACGTTGCTTCTTTGGTTTCTGCTGATCTGGAAGAAAACTCGCAACCACGACCTGATAAATAAAACAAACAGAAAGAGCTCGGTTAAATGTAAAATTAAGGGTTGTATACTTCTGGTGTTTCGTGTTCACAGGTTTTACCTGCACAGAACCAGCAGCTACCAGCAAACCTGCGAGGGCCCCACCGAAAACGCGGCCGTTTGGACCTGCCAGAGAGACACTCATTCTCCGGCTCGGCTCTTTGTCAATCCATTCTCGGTTGGAACAAATGATCCGCTTAAGGAAAGAATCTCAAAAACTCCCTGTAAAAAAGCACAAAGTCTGTTTTACCGTATTCATTTTATGTTTTTGTTGAGCGCTAAAACAAAGAAAAAAGGATGAGAGTATTGGAAAGAGATAGTAAAAATAAGATAAAGTGAATTCTCTTAAGTTTGAAGTTAGTGTGACTTAATGGCAAATAATTTGAATCAAATTGTTAAAAGAGGCGAAGGACCAACACTTCAGATCAAAGGTGAGTCTGTTGTCCAACACGCGCCAGTGTTGTTGGACCCTGACATGACACGACACGTGTGGTTACATCAATCACTTTTATTTTCTTAAATTATTACCGGTGTTCTTTATATGTGTTTGTACTTCATAGATCATAAGCCACATTTTCAAGGGAAAATCATAGAAAGTTTAAAAACTAGAGAAATTATTTCGATGAAATAGTACTAAACTAACCTCATATGTCGAAGTACCTCCACAAGCATCCGACTGGCGAAGTGTGACATTTGAAATTGTGCCAGTTGCAGTGAGAATGGATATAGTATGATGTTCTTGTTGGGAGAGAGACATTATTTTCATTGAGAGATCCTAAAACAAGCCATAGGAAAATCACAATTACAATAAACCAATGAACAAACTTTACATCACAATATGATTCATATAAATATTATAATACATGCCGTACTATTTCACTTCACCATTAATTTGTTTTAGTTTAAAGTGGAATTGTCAATCACAGAAACTTGATCAAAATTCAAGAAGCAATTGCGTGCTACTATTTGACAACATTTTTGCTAAATAGCATATCTCTGAACCATTAATCTTGATTGAACAGTCAATAATGACTTGAATGCGTGCATTTTGCGATTATAGTGGATTCAATTTTGTAATATAACATTGTTTTTAACAAAATTAATTATAACTAACCGTCAAGTTTCTTCTGAATATGGTATCCAATCAAATTCATAGGAAATAATCTAACTCATTTTCATAACATATGCATAAACGGAAACAAACACAATACCTCTCCAGAATTTACTGTAAGCACATGAGTTTTGAATTGGAACTAGGTGGAGCTGTTCTATCCTCTACAAAACAAGAAGGTAAATAGAAAAACAAGTTAATATCTAATTCACAAATAAATAGCACATTCATTTCGTTACGTAAAAAAGCAAATTAACCGACCCTAATACGATAGGCGTAAATCATATAAGGTAATGTGAATCACGGCGTGTTACACAAGATACCATATCAGTCTGAATCCAAATACATCAGTACAATAGATTTACCACGCTTCACTAAATCACATGCATAACACAAAGACCAGAGAACTTATCGATGAACTTAATAAGTCTTGAAAGTTCGAAACTGTCAAATTAATAAAGCCAATACATGCTGCTAACGCAGCCCCTTCAATAAACTCGATTTCTGAGATCAAATAATGTCATCTTTCCCTCATAAAGGGAACAAAAAAGAAACTACTATCAAATATAGCATGTGCTCATTCGATTTGAAAACCGACCTCACATAACTATGACCACACATCTTCAATTCACGATCTGAAAGGGAATCTAATCTAAGGGTCCACTTATATACAACCATATATAAATTCCAATTCATGAATCAATCAAAAAAACACAACATAACCAGAAACGAACACATAAATTCAAGATTAGATAACAATTAACAGCCCTGAAAAACAAACACTAAAAACATAAACATCATTGAACTAACTAACTAATCAGATCAAAGGATCAAAGAAACAACAATCACTTAATGTTACCTTCATCGAAATCATTTAACTTCAAAGGCTTCTTGATTGATTCAAAAGGCTTCCCTCCTCCACCACTTTTCCAGACAGAGAAATCTCCAGTCAATGGAATCGACGCCGAAATCGGCATCGGAGACAGCGCCGGTTTACTTCCAGATTCAGTCTTCCTAGGCCTACCCCTCTTCTTCTTCACCTCCATACCACCACCACCACCCGGTGCACTCACCGGAACAGTAGCCGGAACCTCTCCAGTGGGCCCAGAAAAACTCAACGAATTTTGATTTTGACCCAAGTTGAACCCCTGTGGGACCTGATTAACATTAACACCATGCCCAGAACCAAAAATCTCTCTTTCTTCCATTTCTTCGAGAATCAGACAAAATTTTACGCAACCCAAAATCTCAAATTTCGAAAATCTATAACTTTGTTCAAAACACTGCACTTCAATGCAAAACTAAGATACCCAGAAACAACCCAATTAAATTTTTGCTAAGTAAAAGTTCTAAATGCTTCAAAAACACAAACTTTTTACAAATTTGATGGAAACCCAGATGCAGATTCTTCGATTTCCAAGACAAAATCCGAGAAAACGCAACACTGTAGCTTAAACCTTCACCATTGCAAACAAAGCAAAAAGCTTCAAAAATCAAAACTTTTTTTTTCAAAAACAAAAATTAAAAAAAAAATCAACTATTACAGAGAAAAACTACAACACTAGTTCACAGAATCTACAGAGTGATTTATGAAAATTAGGGTTTGTAAGAAAAAGGGAAGTAAATAAATAAAGTAGAAAAACTATGCATATAATAAAATTTATTATAATGAAAAGTATATATTTTTTGACAAAAATATAATGAAAAAGTAATTAAACAATAGGAATTTAATTATTAAATGATATATTTTAATTATTAAATTAAAAATATAAATTTTGGTTAAGAAATAGTTTCACGTCCGTCTTGAAAATTCAATAAAGGCGTTTTAATTTAATAATAAATGAATATGATAAAATATAGTATAGTATAGTACTACTAATTTTGAGTATATTAAAAAAATAGGGATAGTTTTGGAAAAAAAAGGAAAAGTCTTTTTTTAATATAAATTGCTATATGTTTATTTATTTCAACTTTAAAAAAAAATTATAAAATTGAAAGTGGGACGGACTAAAGCCAATGAACCTTATTCCAAATTCTGACAAGTTTTGTTTGTTTTTTTCAATTAAATTAAAGTTGGCAATAAATTGTTTTTAAAAAATTGGCAATAAATGAGAGTTTCATAAGAAAAAATTATTATTTAATTAAATTAAAGTTGACCATAAATGAGCTTTATTTTTTTTCTTTTTTTAGGGTATGTGTTTCTCATTTTAAATAAATAAATATAACTCTAATTTTTTTATAAATTTTTCTTTATTTTAATTTTTTTTAAGAGGAAAAGAAGAATCTACTCAAAAATGGCACTATAATAGATGCACCAACCTCCCTTTTTTTCTCCCATTGCTTTAGGCATGATGTTTTTCTTTTCTTTTTTTACTTCTTTTTATTTCTTTTTGTACATTTTGCTGGACCAATAGGTATGATGCTTAATATATACTCTTTCTTTTATGAGAGAAACAAAAATTAAAGACAAAAAATGATAAAAGCATGATAATGTAAACAAAAGAAGCCATAATATTTGTTCAAAAAAAGTTAGGTTTGAAAAGAAGAGGCTATTGTTAAATCTATTATGGATATTTTCATTACATAAACCTATTTTTTAATCTTTGTATAATTTCTTTTTGTGATTATTGTTATCATTATTTGATTTTATTAATTTTTCCATTAAATAATTGAAACTATTATTGAGATATTTATAATTAGTATTATATTAAAATTGAAAATGATCTTTAAATTAAAAAAAAAAGTATGATATGTGTCATTTAAAAAAAAATAGAGAGGATATTATAATAATATAATTTTGAAAAATATTAATTGAGTTAAAAATATCGTGAGTGTAACTCTTCAAATTTTAATTATTTTTTATCAAGAACACTAGAAAAGAAATATTTTAATATTATTTTAAATTCAAAATGCATATATATTAATGACACAATAATAAATTATTAATAACACACCATAATAAATTAGTATATTAATATTGAATAAATAGTCATTAAAATATTTAAAATCCTAAAGGTTCATTTAATCTCTTAAATTTAAAAGCATCAATTTAAATATATATTTTTTATTTTATTCAATAATTTTAAAGGTCATATTTTGATTTTTTTTTTGTCACCACTAATATTTAGTTCATTGGACCAACTAATTAAAAACTAAACAGTACCATGATCCTTTTTATCAAATTCTTCGTGAATTATCCAATTAACTATTTGTTGGTTTTTGATTTTAATATAGTAATAGATTATTTAAATCATTTATCTTTTATTAGTTTTGAAAATGTTCCGCTAATAATTATTCGACTTATTAAAAGTCCAGTTCTCTATTTTAGAGCAATTTAACTAATAATTATTCGGCTTATTAAAAGTCCACTATTTTAGAGCAATTTAACGCATAGTTGTTAAACTAAAATTTTGTATATCTTAGGTTATTAATAAGGAATTTGTATTATAGTAGAGCTGACATGACATATGGGATGCTCTAAAACTAGTTTACGTGCTCTACACGAGCAACGTACTCTAACTCATTATTTAACATAAATAATAGATTTTTTATTAATTATTTAACATAAATAATAGATTTTTATTAACCATTTAATACCAAGTTTGAATTTCTTATAAATAATCACCATTGAAGTAAAAAGTTCTTAATTCAATTTTGGATTGCTTAAATCCTTCCTATTAATTTGGACCCACATAAAATAACTTAGTTCATCCAATTTAGTTGCTCCTATTAATGATGCTCTTATGTCATTAATGAATTTAACTTTTTCATTTTAAATTAAAATAATATTTTTTATTACTTTTACATTTAAAATTGTCTAGTATTTATTTTAAAATTATTATATAGATGATTGATTAAGTAAATGTAAACATAAAGAAATTCAATAATAAAATTTTCAAAATAAAAATCATTTATAAAAAATTTTTAATTTAAAAAAATTATTTTACAATGGATAAGAAAACAGATATCAAAAGTGGAAAGATAAAGGAGAAAGAAATAAAAACAAATAATTAAAAAGAAAAGAAATGGAAAAA